ATTGTTGGTTAGAATAGCATAACTATTCATTTCTAAAGAAAATAGTTTATTGCCATTTAACTATGCTCCACACTCTGCAGTTATGTTTTCTTTCTCTTTCAGCCAATTTATTCTTTTTGCTATATTCTTTTTTTTTTTTTCAAACACAACTTAACCAATTTTATTCCTTTTGCTATATTCTTAATGATAGCTTGGATTCCCTAGACCCTTGAGATTTTTTTTTTTTTTTCCTTACTGGCTTCTCTTCTGAATTAGTGTTTGTTTTTTTTTTAAATCCCCTCTAAAAATGCTTATCTTCTCTAATAAGCTGTATCATAGAAAATAGTATTTCAAGCTTTTTCACTTTCACATCTAGCCAATAAAAACAATTTATATTTATATTACACATGATTGGTGACCATTCAGACAATAGGACAAACAAAACAAATATGCCCACATCACTCCAAATAGTTCCCTTGGTGTCCTTATATCCAGGAATTTTTCCCGGCAAGCTACTGAGTTCCGGGAAGCATTTCTTTTAACTTTCTGGATGATCCCCTTATCCCTGCCTCTCTATTTTGTTAATATTTTAGGAAGTGGAGCATAATACTGGAATGAACCACCTTAATATCAAACAAAGCTTCCTTTAGCAAATATGGTAGAACACAGATACTCAATATACTTGACAGCAATGTTTAAAATTCTTTCTATCCCATTTACTCATTCCTTTTGCTATGTCTCTTTCCTCAACTTGTAGGCCCAATGATGTTGAGGCTAAGGCATCAGGATAGGGGCTGGAAAAGTCAAGTATCACTTTAAAGCTGGCTAATTTTGAGAATGAGTACAGAAGAAAAGTTAAGAAGATCCTATTTTTACTGGGGTGGGACTAATAATGTGGTTGACTTTTATGAAGATACTGAGTTAAAAGTGAGAGCAGCTTTCTATACCTTGTTCCTAAATTTGGCATATGCAAACCACTGTGTGATCTAAATCTACAATGAAATTCTAGCTGTGCTAGATGTGTAGGATTGACAAAATTGTTTGTTAACAATAAAAAATAATTTTGCATAGCATCACAGCATTTCAGAATGTATCAGACTTCTAAAAATATGGTAATAATGTATTTTACTTTTTAAATATTTAATATTTACATTGAATACTCTGAACACTGGGAACACCCAGTGTTAAAGAAGAATATCCGTAGGTGTCACCTGAAGCATCCTCACATGTGCTCCTCTGCCACTGCTTCCCTCTTTAATCTACTGTCTAAAATTACATCCTGGAATTTCATCATTACCACACCCTGATCACAATACTGAGATCTTCAAAAGATGTAGCAAGTCAGAATGCTCTGGTCTGATTATGATTGTATGCAGGGCTTAAATTTTACTAGTGAGAATGATATTAAGACACATACTGAAGCATAATTATTATTTACACTTATCACTTTCCCCTGTTGATAAAAGTGGAACCATTGAACTCTATGAATGTACTGCACAAGTGAGAATTCTTTGGTTTCACGTGGACAGATAGTTTCTCAGTTCTCTTTCCTTCTCATTATTTTTCATTTTGAATCTCCTTATTATTATAACTTCCTAGGGTCATAAAATATTGAGAGATAATGGTAATATATTTTATCCAATAGCTTCTCAATCATATTATTGTTATTATCAACTACTTATAAAGGCATAGCTTAGTTGTGACCGAAATCTTGAGAATTAAGATTATTTTATTCATTGATGCCAGTAGTTGTTATGAGGTCTTTGACTACTTTTCATATACCTTTTAATAAAATTGGGGGTATTTAATGAAATAGTTTATTGAATTTTTAATGACACCTAATAATTCGATCTATAAGTCATTGTTTATATCTTGAGTCCTATCCTGATTATAAGAAAGGGAATAGAGGGGCGCCCGGGTGGCTCAGTGGATTAAGCCTCTGCCTTCAGCTCAGGTCATGGTCCTGGGGGTCCGGGGATGGAGCCCCGCATTGGGCTCTCTGCTCAGCAGGGAGCCTGCTTCCCTTCCTCTCTCTCTGCCTGCCTCTCTGCCTACTTGTGATCTCTCTCTGTCAAATAAATAAATAAAAATCTTTATTTAAAAAAAAGAGAGAGGGAGTAGAAATTGTGCTATTTAAAACCAAATGATTTGTTGGTCTGAAAATTTAGAATGAAATAAAATAATCATAAATCATTCACAATTTATTAGAATTGAATATAAAATATTTTCATGATTAAAATTGATTTTAATGCTCCACATTCTTCAAATACAAACAGAATCGAAAGGTTTTCTTTCCTTTTAATTAAGATATGTTTGCTATTTATACTTGATATTAATTTCTGAAGTTCAGAAATTAGAGCCATTTTCCTTAATTTGTGTCCTCAAATTACACTAGGGTTCTATACATTCTGACAATACTTCATAAATACTTAAAAAGATTAATATTCATTTTTTTGCATTTCCTTCATAGACCTCAGTTTTTATGAGCAGTTCTAGAACTCTCAACTGGATGACCTCTGGCTAGTGCTAAGCATAGTATACTGGGAAAAGGGCCTCTCTATGCAGCATATATGTGAAACAGATGACAAAAATTAGCAGGCTATATTAATCCTGATGAAGTGGGTTTCAATTTTATTCTCCAGATAGGAAAACTAAAGCAAAAAGAATAAATAAGAGGATGAAGCAAAACCATGGAATAAAAAAATCAGATTTTCCTTTAATTCAGTAAATATTTTGGAAAACAGCTTTTGGAGATTTGATTTTATGCAGGTAATTTTCACTTGGAATTTTTTTTTGCATTATGTTAGGCACAGAAAAGAGAATGTCTCATGGCTGCACCTTCATGTTGAAAGTATAATTAATAGCAGTTATTTAAAAAGGCTCACTAAACTTTTAATTCCTACATTTAAATGTTTTAAATAATTTTAAATGTTTTTAAAAATTTCTTGAGATTTGACTGTATTTATGTGAGTCATTAAAATATAGCACTTAAGGAAAAGATACATAATAAATGATAATAGGTTATAAATAACAGGTTAGTATTCTTATGTAACCATGTTTTATAAAAACAATTTCAACAAATATTAAAAATTAGAAAGGTATAAAGTTATACAATATCATATGAGCAGGATTCATAATTTGGTTTTATTTTATTTATTTTTTTAAAGATTTTATTTGTTTATTTGAGAGAGAGACACAGCACATGCAGAGCAGTGGGGGAGGGGTGGAGAGAGAGAATCTCAGGCAGATTCCATGCTGAGTGTTGAGCCCCACCCTGGGGTTCTCTCACGTGACCCATGAAATCATGACCTGAGCTGAAACCAAGAGTTGGATGCCTAACTGACTGAGCCACATAGGTACCCCCATAATTTGGCTTTAAATTGTCTTTTCATATATCAAAAAAGTCAATATCAGTTTAAAATATTTAATCTTTTTTAAGGCAGTAGGTTCTATTTATTTATTTATTTATTTATTTTTTATAAACATATATTTTTATCCCCGGGGTACAGGTCTGTGAATCACCAGGCTTACGCACTTCACAGCACTCACCATAGCACATACCTTCCCCAATGTCCATAACCCTTCCCCCAACCCCCCTCCCCCCAGCAACCCTCAGTTTGTTTTGTGAGATTAAGAATCACTTATGGTTTGTCTCCCTCCCAATCCCATCTTGTTTCATTTACTCTTCTCCTACCCCCTTAACCCCCCATGTTGCATCTCCTCTCCCTCATATCAGGGAGATCATATGATAGTTGTCTTTCTCCGATTGACTTATTTCACTAAGCATGATACCCTCTAGTTCCATCCACGTCGTTGCAAATGGCAAGATTTCATTTCTTTTGATGGCTGCATAGTATTCCATTGTGTATATATACCACATCTTCTTTATCCATTCATCTGTTGATGGACATCTAGGTTCTTTCCATAGTTTGGCTATTGTAGACATTGCTGCTATAAACATTCGGGTGCACGTGCCCCTTCGGATCACTACGTTTGTATCTTTAGGGTAAATACCCAGTAGTGCAATTGCTGGGTCATAGGGTAGTTCTATTTTCAACACTTTGAGGAACCTCCATGCTGTTTTCCAGAGTGGTTGCACCAGCTTGCATTCTCACCAACAGTGTAGGAGGGTTCCCCTTTCTCCGCATCCTCGCCAGCATCTGTCATTTCCTGACTTGTTAATTTTAGCCATTCTGACTGGTGTGAGGTGATATCTCATTGTGGTTTTGATTTGTATTTCCCTGATTCCGAGTGATATGGAGCATTTTTTCATGTGTCTGTTAGCCATCTGGATGTCTTCTTTGCAGAAATGTCTGTTCATGTCTTCAAGGCAGTAGGTTCTATTACCATCATTTAAAATTGCTTTAAATGAATTTTATTCAATTTCAGTAAATTCAAGAGATTTTCTGTTAGCAATGATTTTTAACATAAAGTTTAAGAGAAAAGTAAAGATGTTAGCTTATTATATACTTTCATAGTATTATATAATGATTAAGAGCCAGATTGTCTGGGTTCAAATTTCACTTCTGCCATTTACCAGTTGAGAGAATTTGGGCAAATTAAACTTCTCTATGTGTGGGCCTCTTGATCTATAAAACTGGAATAACTAGAGTACTCATTTCATAGCCTTGGTGATAAGAAGGTGAGTTAATATATAGAAGCTTTGGAATAATTCTGAGAATGTGATATAAGATCAAAAAACATTAGCTGTTATCATGATGATTATTATAGTAAATTAGAACTGTAATTCTAGGGAAGGAAAAGCTAAATTTAAATATTTACTATTTCTTTGAATCCAGGTATCTTTTTCTATTAAAAAAATCAATAGTTTGCACTTCCATATTTAATAAGGACTCCTCTGGTGTTTGTGTGTTATGGGTAGGTGGCTTCAGTCTGAGTTAATAATCAGATTCATAATTTTAATAACTTCTAACTGAAAAAAGATAAGAACAAATGGTCATTCTTGAATAATCTGCAAAGCTGAGTGAATAACTGACTTATCTTTCTGTGATCTCTTGCAGATATCATGGAAATCAGGACAGTGGCAGTTGGAATTGTGGCAATCAAAGGGGTGGAAAGTGAATATTATCTTGCAATGAATAAGGAAGGAAAACTCTATGCAAAGGTATTGATAATTGATAGTTTAGACTTAATTTTTTGAACTTATTTTTGTCAAAATATTTTTCTTTTTCTTTTCTTTTCTTTCTTTTTTTTTAGAGAGGGACAGAAAGAGAAAGAGAAAGAGAGAGAGAGGAGGCAAGGTAGAGGCAGAGGGAGTGGAAGAGAGAGAATACTAAGCACAGGCTCCACACCGAGCACAAAGCCCAGTATGGGCCTGATCCCATGACCCTGAGATCATGACCTAAGCCTAAACCAAGAGTTTTACTTTTAACCAAATGAGCTACCCAGGTGCCCCAAACAAAACATCTTGCCTTTCTGAAAAAGAAAAGGTGAAACTAGGGCGCCTGGGTGGCTCAGTGGTTAAAACCTCTGCTTTCGGCTCAGGTCATGATCTCAGGGTCCTGGGATCAAGTCCCGCATCGGGCTCTCTGCTCAGCAGGGAGCCTGCCTCCTCCTCCTGTCTCTCTCTGCCTGCCTCTCTGCCTACTTGTGATCTGTCAAATAAAAAAAAAAAAAGGTGAAACTAATTTCTTTCCAATTATATAATTTAATGATTTCATTAAAACACTTTCTATTCAAGCATTGAGAAAAACAGTTTTTGCAGGACCTTGGACAAATTGCTTAAGCTCTCCAGGCTTGGATGTCTTCATTTGTGAAATGAGTTGGATTAACTGACCTCGCAGGATACTTCCATCTCTGAAATTCCATGTGCATTTTAGATACTTAAAATATAAAATTTCATTCTGAGAATATTAAAGCTCTTTAGTTAAAGTTCACCCAATCTGTACATTGCTGACATGAAAATTCTTGGGAAAAATATTCAGACATTTGTTTATCAACATCAATCTCACAATCATGGGCTTTGAACTGTGAGCATTCATGTTGTTCCCACTTTATTACACTTTATTACAATGTGAAATATGTAATAGTTCATCCCATCATAAAAAAATATAATCGACTTTCATTTGTATTCCCACAGCCCAGCAATCACGATTAACTGGCACAGGGTTATTATATAATAATATAGGTTTAACTGAATGAATGACTGAATGAATGAATAGTTGGATGAATGAACAAATAAACTTAATTTTCTATCACAATTGCAGGCAGTATAGTAGTAAATGAAGAAAGGTGTGAAATATGTCCTCTGATTGAGGGAGGCAGATGCTCTGCCAATCATATCAAGTCTCGTCAGTTAGGGAATGACTGACTTGGGCATGGTAATATGAGAGCTGCTACTTAGAGTGAAATAGTTCCTAACACTAAAGATTAGTAGCAACCAATGGCCAAAAAGTTAGACATTTGAAAATATGTTGAATAACTATGTGCCATTTTATCTTTTTAAAAAATTTTAAGATGTCTATTTTTTTGCAAATGCTAATTTATATCTAACAAACTGCAGTAGGTCCACTCAAAAAAAGAAAGGTCATATATGATTTAATTTTACTAAATATTACTGCTTACTATTTGAGTCCCTCTAAAAATAATCTGGATAATGTTGTTTGTTGTTTTAACAGAAAGAATGCAATGAAGATTGCAACTTCAAAGAATTAATTCTGGAAAACCATTACAACACATATGCATCAGCTAAATGGACACACAGCGGAGGAGAAATGTTTGTTGCTTTAAATCAAAAGGGGGTTCCTGTAAGGGGGAAAAAAACGAAGAAAGAACAAAAAACAGCCCACTTTCTTCCTATGGCAATAACATAATCATATATGGTATATAAGAAACCAGTTCCAGCAGGGAGATTTCTTTAAGTGGACTGTTTTCTTTCTTTTTCTCTTTTCTTTTCTTTCTTTCTTTCTTTTTTTTTTTTTTTAAGTAACCAAGAAAGGCTGGAAAACTACTGAAAAACTGATCAAGCTGGACTTGCGCATGTATGTTTATTTTAAGAGACTGCATTAAAGAAAGATTTGAAAAAAATATACACAAAAATCAGATTTAGTAACTAAAAGTTGTAAAAAATTGTAAAACTGGTTGTACAATCATGATGTTAGTAATAGTAATGTTTTTTCTTAAATTAATTTACCCTTAAGAATGTTAGATTTGATTATCTGGTAATGATTATTTAAATATTCCTATCTGCTTATAAAATGGCTGCTATAATAATAATAATAATGCAGATGATGTTATAAAAGATATGTCAGACCTAAAGGCTGCTGGAATGATTTGTCAGATAATCAAGCCAATACAAACTATGGAAGATGAGCAGTATTTGAAAGTTTTTTTAGTGAAAAATTATAAACCACTTAAATTCTGAAAAGAAAGAATATTCTCAAGAATTCTAGTATGGAATGGAATCAAATAGGTAGTTTTACAAAAGTAAAATATTAGAAAATGCTTGTACCTATTAACAAGACAATGCTGCTCAAACTGAAAGGATAATGGCTTAATGGATGTTTTCAAAAATCTTGTATATAAAATAGCAATAATGATGACAATACTGTATTTCATCTCACTTGGCACCAAATAACATCTTATAATCCCTAAAAGTAAAATTGAGAAATCTTTAAGTTTTTTTCAAGTAACATAATCTTTTGTATAATTCATATTTGGGAATAAGACTTTTAATAATGTTCTTCCCATAAGTAATCATGCTTTTTCTCTGTGGTTATAGCATTAAACTCTATTTTAAGTTGTATTTGAACTTTATTGTTTTGTTATTTAAGTTTATGTTATTTATAAAAAAAAAAACCTTAATAAGCTGTATCTGTTTCATATGCTTTTAATTCTAAAGCAATAGCAAAACCGTCTGGCTCAACAGCAAGTTACTCTTCCCCCTCATGACCAACACCAAGTCTAGTACGTAGGATGTGGGCCAGCAAATCCTGGATGGCAGACAAAAATGACAGCCTGCAGCAATTCTTACAAAAGATGTTGCACAGGGAACAATACAAAAATGTGAAATATACTTGGCCACATATTGTTGTAAATTAGATTGGATCATATAAGGAAAATCACTGCAGATACAAGAACTTAAAGGATTTTAAAGTTAGAATATACTTGAGTTCATGAGTAGAAAAGTGCCATACTTTTAAAATTTGCATACTTAGAGTTAGTAAATTTCTAATGTCTAGAATTTCTGCTATTCAAAATATTGCCACATGGAAAGTTCTTTTCCTGACAGATGGCAAGAGCAAAATGCCCAAAATAGAACATACAACTAGGGATTTGAGGACCTGAATATCACGAAAGCTTGAGGTGAGGCTACAGGTAATAAGCTTATCTGTAAGATAAAGATAAATTCCACTTCATAATTCTTTGATTGGCAGATTTGGTAGCACTTTATGTGTTCACCAGTTGGAGGCCAACATTTATCAAAATTAAATTTAGATACTATTGGAATGCTTATCATTGTGCTTTTAATTTCAAAATATTCCTCATCAAGTCCCTTTATTTTATATAAATATTATTGACTAATACATTTATAGGCAAAAGTTACATAAAAAGGCTAAATCAACAGGAACAACAGATTCATTTGATCTTCTTGCAGTTCACCTATATGTCCAAGTGGCAAGAAGCTAGAAAGAACTGCCCTTCCTCAGATATACTCTGGGACATGCTATGACTGATACTCTGAACTGCTCTCTGATTCATAGGCCTTGCTAGCCTAGGTTCCTAGATCAGGTTTCTATGGCTGAGGTCTTGTGAAAATATCAAGGGTAGAGGAGAAACTATGTGTTTCCTTAGTGCTTAGCAGAGTGTCTAACCATAATCAATTTTTATATGAATTCATTCAATGTTTGACTATTAAAGAAAATTCAGACTAAGACTAATCTTTCTTCATTTTTAAAAGTTAGGGCAAAACATGATGATATAAAATTTGAAGAGAGACTATATATATATATATATATATATATATATATACAATTAAATTACACAGCAAAGCTAATTAAGCACACCAAATTTAGCAGTAAATCCAATCTGGTAGTGTTTCTAGAAACACTTCTAATTCATTTTTTATCTTCCCCCCTTTAAATTTATCATGCAAATTTTAGAAAATAAAATCAGTACTAGTTACATACATTTAGAATTCTAGAATCTTAAAACTGTCTCTTGTATTCATCTGCAGACCAGGAAACTGAGATTGTGATACATCCATTGTAGCTGGTTAGGTACAAAAAGGTCACAAAAGTCTAGGTCACTTAGCATGTATTTCATACCCTTAGATTATTAGGATGATTAGCTAGTAGTTTCCTTCTTTAAAAAAATTTCTATTGAGGGGTGCATGGGTGGGTCAGTTTGTTGTGTCCAACTCTTGATTTGGGCTTGGGTCATGATCTCAGGGTTGGTATTGGAGCCACACATCAGGCTCCATGATGGGTGTGGAACCTGTTTAAGATTTTCTCTCTCCCTTTGCCCCTGCCACCACCCCCTCATGTTTGCTCTGTCTCTCTCTCAAAACAATTTCTTTTTTATTGAGATATGATATTTATGTTTGTATGCAAAGGCAATGTATGTTTTGGCAATTCGCTTCATATACAATAATTAGTCCATACTGTGATGATTTGACTCAAGAGGAGGAAAGAGATGAGACAATTTCTAATCGTGGTTCCTATTCTACTCTTACATGTACCCCTTTATTTACAAATAGGGAACAGTAAGCAAAATGTCCATATAAATGGAGTAATCTTTTTTAAAATGTTCTTTTGAAAGGGAAAATTGGTTAAATTCATGGGTTTCCAACAAGGAAGGAAAAAATTAAATGAAAGAATATAAACTGTTAACAAAAGAAGTAATAAAAAGATATTTTCAATGTAATTAGTGAACTAAAACATTTTTGTTAAAAAAAAAAGCCATAGTATAAATTATCAGCCTTTGAGTTGGCTATAAATTGACCTAATGATAAGAAAGAAGAGATGCTGGAGATAAATTCTTAGTTTCTATCTCTTAGAGTTTGCTCCTCAGGTTCTCTAGAGTTACAAAGAACATACAGATGGACTACAAGACCAACTGTAGGAAAAGCAATTCTATAACCACAAATGCACTAAATCAGTGTCTCTCAAAATTGTCTATTGAAATAACAATAATAGTAGAAGTAAAGAATGAGGGTCTAGGGAATAATGTAAAGGTGGCACACAAAGTTTCTTGAAAATCTTTTTTCTCTTAAAACTCATGTGATTTTTGTAACTTATTTCATAATATATTTGTGTTTGCACTAATATAAAATTTACAACAATAAACAAAAGTGATACATCAGAAAGTTTTACAAGGTTTATCATGCAGTTTCATTTACATCACTACCCTATTGCCATATACCTGGACATGAATAAGACACGGGAGATGCATACCATTTATTATCCCACTTTACACATAGATGACACATGGCCAAAGAAAATAAAAACTTTATCTAAAGTTCACTATGAATAAGAATGATATTAAAAATATTTAATGACCAGTATGAATGGTTACAGGTCAATTAGAATATGCCATTTATCTATCAGAACAGATACAGGCCACTGCAACTGACTTGTGGGTATCAGATGATTGATTATTAGCTGTGACTATTTCTATGATCACTCTGAAACAGTTTTCAGAGCATATCTCTTAATTGGTCTCTGTGATTTGAGTTCTTCATGTGCATCTTAATATGAAATAGTTCATTAAAATTTATAACCGTTTCAGCATTGTTGTCAGGGTACTCTTTGTTCGACTTCTATATTTATTCAACAAAGCTGCTGCTTTCAATGAGGTTGATGTTCCTTCAGGCCATATTTACTCCCATTCATCCTCTAACTTTGAATGGTTTGTTAAGAAAATACACTTTCTCTTAGGCTGAGGAGACTTGGCAGGAAGCAAAAAATAATAAAATAAATAAAAATAATAAAAGAAAATAATAAAGAAATAATAAAGTCTAACTCTCTTCCCCCAAATCCTTGTATTTACTCTCCTCTGAGTACATTTCTTCTTACATGTTCCTTTTACTTCCTGATAATTATGTGGTTCCAGTTTCCACATCCTCATCATTGAAATTATGAGAATCTATACAAACTTATTTTCTTTCCTATCACCAGAACTTACAACAACTGAAATGTGAGATAAATAATAATATTTAGCTTACAGATGGCAGGACTTTCTTCTTGACAAATCCAGCCATGTGTTAGTTATAGATTGTTATTTAACAAATTATCTTAACAGTTAATGGCTTAAAACAGCAAATATTTATTGTCTCATGTTTTATGTGGTCAGGAAACTGGACATGGGTTGGCCAGTACTCTCTAGTTAGAATCTCTCATAAGGCTACAATCAGTGTGTTGGCCAGGTCTATGGACATCTATTATGTCAATGCTTAGCTTAGAAAGGGATTCACCTTGGGTCCTCACTGGTTGTTGGCTCAAAATATCACTTTCTTACCACAGGAGCCTCTCTATAGCACTATTTAAACCATGGCAGTTTGTTTCCTACACAGCGAGGAACCAGACAGAATGCCCAAAATGGAAGCCACAGTATTTTTAGAACCTAATCTTGAGAGTGATATCCCATTACTTCTGCCTATACAAGGTAAGGAAATTACACAAAGGCATAAATACCAAAAAGCAGGGACCATCAGATACCATCTTAAAGGCTGCCTAACACAAATAATAAGTGGGATTTTTTAAGGTTACTGCCACAAGACAGGATTCTTTAGGACCTAATAAGAATAATTCACAGTTTTTCTTGGTGAGCCATTCAGCAGAGAAAAATAAACATATTCTCTGTGGCAACATTCTTGATACTTCCTAAGGGATAATGTATAGCCCATTCTTGCAAAGGTAATTGAGAAAAAGTTGGGACCACAGTTTAGACTGCCTATTAGCTTCAGTTGTGCCTCTTTAGAACTCCTAATATAGCTGGAAAACTAACAGTATCACTTTGCCTCTATATGAAGGATGTGACCCAGCCTTCAGACCCAATCTGATGATAATCCTCCCTTCCACTTCCCTACTCAAGAGAGTAAAATCATATATACCAGCTGAAACCTCCTTGAGCCATAGAGAGTCTTGTTCTAGATGGCAGAGGCAATCAATCATAAGTTGCACATGACCATGTGAGGATAAGACGACCTAAAAAGACTTGAAAAACAATCAATTTTAATGCTAGATGCATATTGGAATCACCTGGGATTTTTTTTTTTTTTTTAAAGAAAATGAGGCCTAGCCCCCAGCCCAGGTCAGTTGCATCAGTATATCTGGGATGGGACATAGGCAGTGCTATTTTTAAAGCTCCCCAGGAGATTCTAAGGTACCTATGCATTTGAGAACCAATTGGCTAAATGGGGGGTGGGGGTGGGAGTGAGAAAGGAAATCCCTTTAGGACCTATACCTGGTTCTTAATTTTTGTTTCTTCCTTAAACACTCTGAAAAGCCTTATGTTGCTTCCCATCTTAATTCCATATTTTCCAATATGATTTCAAAGTCTACAGTGCTTCTTGGATCCCTGGTTTTCCTAGATGCCTTTACATCTTTGCTACTCATGTTTGAGGCTAAAAGGAAATACAAACACTAGAAAGAGAGCTACAACTGTCTTTGCATTCAGACAATTATGGGGTATAAACTATGCAAAGGGTACACCCACATACACCGTAGTCCTTTTTCAAACAGAGCAGCCACAGTGATTTTGTTAAGTTGTATTTCAGATTATGCAATTCCTCTGTTCAAAGCTGCAATTGTTTCCCATATTACTCAAGACAAAAATCAGTTTTTAGAGTTGCCTATGTAGTGGCAATGG